TGTTCTGTTTAAATAATATGTGGGTAATATCTACATTAGTTGTTCTGAAGCTGGATAAGATGTTGTGAGTAGAACACTGTAAGCGCATTCACTTGTTTACCTTAAAATGGTCAATTTGACATTACATGAGTTTTGCTCTGATTTTTTTACGTGTAAAAATAAATGAATAAATATGTAACATGATTTTTTAAAATACAAACAGCTGGGCTAGAGGTATCTCTTGATAGACTATGCCTGTCTGACATGCACTACAACTGTGGGTTTAATCCCCAGCAACAAAACCCAAGAAATAGAACAAAAGAAGACCAGAGAGAAAAACATGTGTGAGAAAAAATATATCCCAGTAACAACAGAGTATGAGTCTGCTCTGCTATGCGAGTCACCCACCGCCTCTAGACATTGCAAGTCCTTACTAAATTACTAGAGCTGTGTGTCACTATTTCTTTGGGGGACATTCTGTATACCAGGCTTCATTCTAGCACAGATAAAGGACCTAATCAAGGCCCATCAAAACTAAGGATCAGTTACTTGTGCTATTATTATCCAGCAATTCCATGATAATAAATAGATGCTTTAGGCTGACGAAGTTTGGTTTGGTTTCATGTTCATAAGAACAAAACCTAGTAAAACCAACTGTGGGATTAGAAGTTACTGTTAGAAGGGCATTTGAGGACTGGAAAGGACTTCTTCAGCATGGGATGCTGTTTGGCCTTGGGTTGATATGAAGAGTGCTCACTTTGTGAAAACTAATTGAGCAAGACACAGGATTGGTACATTTTGTGGTATGCATGATACACTCTGACTACAGGCTTAACATATCTTCATTGCCTTCTTACAATGTTGTCTTCTCACATTTACAGTTACAGATTGTCAATGAAAAATTTACCATGTTCTCTAAACAGGAAAAAATAATGGACATCTGTGGGAGCATTTAAGCAGTTCTTTAGGGAGAACCTGCTTATTCTTCCAGTCAGAAATCCAAGCCAGGAGCCAGTGGCTCACACGCGTAATGTTATATACCTACTTGGAAAACTGAGATATTAGGATCACAGTTCCAGGCCAGCCCAGGCCAGAAAGTCCATGCACCTCCTATCTTTAATTAATTACCAAAAAGCAAGAAGAAGAGGTGTGGCTCAAGTGGCAGAGCTCTAGCTTTGAGTTAAAAAAATATAATGGATACCATCCATGCCCTGAGTTCAAGCCCCAGTACTAGTACAAAACAATTAAATAAACAAACAGAAAAGAAACAAGAACTAATATTTTAACAACCCTAAATAGCCTCAAACGCATCACTTTTGAATGTCCTGTTATATGTTATGCTTAATGGGATCCCCAGGCTTTCATTTTATAGGCAAGAAAGCAAGCTTTTATAGCTTTGAAAGAAGATCCGATTTGTGAAAGGTTTTAAGTTGTTTTAAGCATTCTTTTTCTGCTTAGAGGAGGAGATGAAGAAGAACTTTGGGAACAGAAAATAGGAGGTATTTTTTCCAAGTCAGCGTCAAAAGGAAAGACAAAATAGCCACCCTCATCAATGACACAGAGTCCTATTAGGAGACCTCTTTCATTTCCCCAATTACCATACTAGGATTTGGGGAGAAAAAAAACTAAAAAGAAAAACACATTTTGGGCTGGGAATGTGGCTCAGTGGTGGAGCACTTGCCTCTCATCCATGAGGCCCCTGGGTTAGATTCCTCAGCACCACATACACAGAAAAAGCCAGAAGTGGCGCTGTGGCTCAAGTGGTAGAGTGCTAGCCTTGAGCAAAACGCAGCTCAGGAACAGTGCCCAGGCCCTGAATTCAAACTCCAGGACTGGCAAAAAAAAAAGAAAGAAAGAAAAGAAAAAAGAAAAGAAAAGAATGAGAAAGAAAGAAAGGAATGAAGGAAGGAAGAAAGAAAGAGAGAGAAAGAAAGAAAGAAAGATAAAGATGCATTGCATGTCAACAATTCCAAAGAAATGGACAAAGATGGGTGAAGACATCAAGGATGTCTTCAGGAATCTCAAAAAGGGAGTCCATGACTATGTCATTGAGATCATTTGATTTCTTTAAAGGAATTTCTCAAAATGTAAACAAAAAAGATTAAAAATTAAATCCACCAATTTACACACAGGCCAGAGAGTTATGTCATCTGTCTGTCATACTTTCCAAGTTGATTCCCAAACTTGATCCCAGTGCTTTTCACAGCATGATTTCCCAGACCACCACCACCACCAGCAGCAGCAGCTGCATCCAAGAACCTGTGAGAAATGTAGATTCTCAATCCTACCTCAGACTCAGCAATCTGAGTGTGGCCAAGGCCTTGCAAGTGATTTTCAGGGATGCTTATGTGTGAGGACCACTACTCTATCCCATTGGCTAGCTGCAACTCTATCCCAACTAGTTGCAATAGAAAAGAACTGTTGACAGGACCACACTTTTGCAACAAGAAGCATCAAGGTTTCAGAGGGGAAGAAGCTATTTGCCTAAAGTTACACAGCTAACTGGCAAGAAAACCAGCAGGAAACACTGGCTTTTGACTCAAGATCTAGATCTCTTTTTATGGACAACTTTACAAAGATGCAGCAAAACAAAAAGGGTGAGATTAACTGTCAATTCTAGAAGGGCAAATATGAATTAGAAAGAATAGAGAGGGTACTCTCTAGGGAGCATAAAAGCAACACTAACAAAATCCACAGACCACAGAGAGCAAAAGAACCAAAGCACCTGCCAAGGAGTTCATCATGGTTCTGATAACTTGTCTCTTTGGTACAATTTAGGTTCTGCCTTTAAAGACAAGAATTGGCTTTCTCCCTGGTGCCTGTATCCTTCCCACAGAGAATCTCCAAAAACTCTTGCTATAATGCTCAAGAGTTCTTCCCCACTTCTTGTGATGATATTCTTGTGATGGTGTTCTCTGTTCTCAGCCCATCCTTTTAATCTCTTTCATCGTGGTGGCTTTTTGTTGTTGTTGTTGTTTTGTTTTGTTGTTTTTATCATTTATCCCTGCTGGGGACTTTATGCACTTTTTCCAAAACTCCAGGACATAGTCCATGGCTGTTACTAATAAGTGGACAATGAATATGTTACATAAATGCACATAATACAAATAGCCTCTATAGGCAATCTCAAAATGTATTTTCATACACCTGCATTCCCAAAGTCACATTGGCTGTTTTCTCCCAAATAAGAAATTTGAAGAATTATACTGAAATGTGATTTCAAATCATCACTCTACAAGAAATATAGAGCTTGTGACAAAGCTCCCATATATATATATATATATATATATATATATATATATATATATATATATATATTCAGCCGAGTCTGTTTCTCTCTTCCCTCTAACATTCACTCTTTCTCAGTAAACCCATCATCACATTTGCTCCCTACATAAAGATTTCAACATAGACAAGACTGGTCTATTTTTTCAACTGAGTTTTCTCTCTTGACCCAAAGAAAGCATTTAACGCATTTCTGATTTTACTGTTTAGATTCTCTTCTATTTACAAAAAGCTTCCGGTCCAATTAGGCTGGAACAGAGAAGAGAAACATGCAAAGTGTGTGGTAAAAATATGCACGTGCACATCCTTGCCTTGATTTAATAACTGGCAGAAGATTTCAAGGAAGCTGGAACTCATACTGCAAGTTCTGACTGCGCTTCCAACTGGACAAAATATACGCACAGACTCACTCGGCTAAGTAATTGAATTCGCTACCTGGAATATTTAAATTGTTTTCCGACACTGGAAATTGGCTTAAGAAGATTAAAGAAAAATACCCTGGAGGATAACAGGCTATAATTTACTAGGTAGAAAAATCTTTTCAGCAAGAAGAACGCTTTATTCTCCTATAACTCCTTCTGGTTAAGATACGTATGAGTCATCTGGATCTAAATTTCCTTGCATCTGACAGCTAGGCTTTATTCCAGTGGGTTGTTCTTATCACATCCTTTGAACGACACCCTATGGACTGCAACCATACGTGGATTCCCCCCAAGTTCACCTGTGTCCGGAGAGATCTACTGATGCCCACGGAGGCTCACTGTCTCCAGTGGAAGGCAGGAGGAAGAGGTCATTTGAAATCCTGGGGACTGAACTGTATAGAAAGCGCCCGAGATGTAGCCCCCCGCCTCCCGGGACTCTGCCCCACCCAACCTGGCAAAAAGGCTCAGGGACGTGGTGAGGGAACATCTTGTCTCCTCTGTTTCAAAGTGAATCCTCTAGCCATTGCGTTTCTCAAAAAAAGAAAAAAACATTGCCCTCCCTCACCTGTCTCCAAGCCCATGACTTCCTCCGGTACACCCTTCAGGCCCCCATCCCTCTACCCCCCACCGCCCTGGTGCTCAGCACCCCTTCCCAGGTGTGCGGACCCCAAGCCCCCCTAGCTCAGGAGTCAGGCGCTAAAGTTTGGCAGCACGACCACCTGTCGGCTGGACCTTTGTGTCCTCTGCCACGTGGGCTTGCAGAAAAGCCACCACTGTCGGAAAGACACTCGGGGAACCCCTGTCTTGTAGCAAAGGGGCAAAGGAGGTTAAAAGGGGGTGCACTAGCCGGCAGAGAAGGGGGCGCGCCTAGTTAATACCCTCCGCTTTCCAGCTGCCTCCAACTTTACACTCCTCACTTTCCAAACTCACCGGACCCGTCACCAGGCCATAAATAAATAAATAAATAAAGCCCGCCCCCCCCCTCTGAATCCACTGACACCCCCCCCCTTCTCCCCAAGACTTAAGACCCTGAAGGGGCGATTTGCCAGCCCCAGCCAGCCAGTCAACTCTGCACCCCCTGCCGAGCCGGGAGCGCGCGCAAAGCGCCTGCCCTTTGCTACCCACCTCCAGGGCTGTGCCCCCCCCCGCCCCACCGGGCGCCCTCAGGCCGCTCCGGCCCCACTCGCGACGTACCCATTGCATAACGCACCCCTCGCCCCACCCCCACGCAGCCCGTCCCCCCCCTCCCCGCCCGCCCCACGCTGTGCCCCGGCCGGCGAGCGCCTCGACACCGGGCCGAACCCCGATACTTACATCATCCCACTTGACGAATTTGGTGCCTTTCTTGAGGCTGTCCGACACGCACACGGGCTTGAGTTGCAAAGCGTGCACTCCGGGCTGAGCCCCAGCCATCTGGGCTCATCGAGGCTCCGGGCGGCCCCCGGGCGAGCTTGGCGGAGACCGGGCGCGCGGAGCGCTGGGGCGCGGGGCTCTCCTCGTCTCTGCTCCCGAGGTGCCGGACTCCGCTTCCCACCCCGACACACACACCCCACCCCAGGGGGCCGGCTTCTCTCCCCCTCCCTCCCCGGCCTCCTGGCCTCCACCTCCCTCGGTCTCTCTCGGTCTCTCTCTCCCCGAAGCCGATCAGTAGGCAGGGCGCGCGGGGGCGCAGTGCCCAGCCATGCCCATGCCCCGGGCGGGACGCGGGCTTGGAACCCCGCGGTAGATGGTGAGGCTCTCGGAAGACGAAAAGAAGCCGAGCCGGGCTGCCAGCGGCTGCCGAATCCTGCTCCTCCTCCTCCTCCACCGCAGCCGCCGCCGCCTCAAAGCGCACACCATTCAGCACATCCTCTAGACACAGAGGGAGAAAGCGAGTGACACACGCTCGGCGGCCCCCTCCTCCTCCTCCTCCTCCTCCGGCTCCTTCCCCTCCTCCCTCTCCTCCTCCTCCTGCCAACCCCCCCTCCCTCCCTCCACACCTCCCTTCGCCGCCACCCTCGATTGCTCACTCGCCCCGGTCCTTCCTTTCCCCCCCCCCCTCTCCGCGCTCCCAGCCCAACTTTGCGCGCTGGGTCAAGCGCCGGGAAGCGGGGATGCAGCGACACCTCCCGGCTACTAGAACCTACTGCAGCCAACGCCTGCGCCTCCAGCGCGGCCTCTGAGTATGCCCTGAGCCCTGGGTGACCGGCTAGCCATGGCGGGTCCCTTTAGAGGTGCTCTCCAGGAGAGAAACTTGGGTGCCACCCTGCAAAGCATCTCTGTGCCTTTACCTGGTAGGGAAAGGTGGGTGTTAGGAGGGAGCCCAGGCAGTCCACAGCTTCCCTTTGTTGTTGGAGCTCTCCAGATTTTTCTTTTTCCTCCCAAGAGAACTGGTATTATTAGCAGGGAAGAGAGCAATTGAGAAGCTTGGTAGAAGAGCTCTTCAGAGAAATCTCTACGTGCAGGAGAGCTGGCTGTGCGGTGGGGAAACGGTTAAGTGGTGTTGGTTTGTTGTTGTTGTTGTTTTTGAGGTAATAAGTTCGTCCTGATGAAAGCAAAAGTTTTATTTCCCAAGAAAATAGGTACCATCTTTCCAGGATACACCCCAGCCCTGCGCTCGCTCGCTCTCTCTCTCTCTCTCTCATGCACATACAGACGTATGCACACACACGCACACGTGTGTGTGTGTGTGTGTGTGTGTGTGTATAAACTTGCTCATTATGGAGCATCGATCTAGGAATGTAGTTTGTTCTCTTTCACAGAAGTGGTGGAAGGACAAGAAAAAACGGATCAAATTTTCAAAACTGATTAATGCCAAATGTTTGGTAGTATATGAAGCAGCTGAAACTCTCATCCATTATTGGAGGGTGTGTAGATCGTAAAGCTACTTTGGAGAATAGCTGCTTATAAACTTGAACGTCCACTACCCAGACATTCTACTAGATTTTGTAGTTGTTGTTTGTCCCCCCTCCCCCAGAGGAATTGAAAATGGCTGGGTGCTGGTGGCTCAGGCCTGTAATCCTCTCCATTCAGGAGGCTGAGAACTGAGGATCAAGGTTCTAGCAAGCCAGGGCAGACAAATCCTGACTAATTAACCACCAAAGATCCAAAAGTGCAGATGTAGCTCAAGTAGTAGAAGCCCAGCTTTGAGTGAAAGACCTAAAATAAAGCTTGAGGCCCGAGTTCAAGCTGCAGTACCAGCAACACACACACACACACACACACACACACACACACACACCTATATAGACTTGTCCAGTAACATTAGTAGCTTTTTTCATAATAATTCCAAACAGAAAAAGAATAAAATATTCATCAACAATGGAATTAGTAGACAAAAACTGTCATTATGTACAAACTGAAATCATCACTCATATGAACAGGCAAGGATAGATGACTGTACAAACCTTAAGCTTACTGAAAGAAGCCAGACACAGCCGACTACATTCTACATTTCTACATGATCCCATTTGTAGGAATTCCAAATTAGGCAAGCTATTCTATGGTGATAGAAAGCAGTACAGTGGTTACCTGTAGCTGGCAGTGGTCAAAGTTTGACAAGAAAACAGAAAAACAAGACACTAGCAAACTACTGAGTGAACAGAACATTCTATAACATGTATATTTAGATTTATCAAAACTCAGGATGTAACACATCTCAAAAATGTCAAATTGAGGGGAAAAAAGATTAAGAAAGGAAATAGAGGAGAAAAAGAGAAACATTACCTTCTCTTATTCTTTTATTTTCCCTACCCTCTGCCCTTAGGGTCTCTATGGACCAAAGTTTTTAACCTGAGTCAAAAGATTACCAAAAATCTGATGGGGAACTTTGCTATTGAATATTTCAATGCATCCAAACATTATTCCTGAGACAGGCATAATGGCACATACCTGTAATCCAGCTAATGGGAATTTGTAGAAGCAGGAGGATTACACTCAGGCCAGCCTGAGTAATGAAGGAGACACTTATAGCTCAGTAACTGAGCACTTACTTAACCTATATGAAAATATAAGATCCTGGGTTCAATTTACAGTTCCACTTTTTTTAAATAAATGTATTAATCACCAGCTATATAGTTGGCCTAATTATAATCACCATGGGAAATCTGATGAACAAAAACATTGACTCGTGCTTACATCATGGTCTTGCTTTGTAACTGGAAGCCTTCTTCCACAAAGGCTTTCATTAAAGACTGGCTTGATACCTGACACTGGTGGCTCACTCCTGTAATCCTAGCTACTCAGGAGGCTGAGATCTGAGGATCACAGGTCAAAGCCAGCCCAGGCAGAAAAGTCCGTGAGACTCTGATCTCCAGTAAACCCCCAGAAAGCCAGAAGTGGCACTGTGGCTCAAGTGAGAGAATGCTTGCCTTGAGCTGAAGAGCTGAGGGACAGCACCCAGGCCCAGAGTTCAAGCCCCACAACCAACAACAACAACAACAACAAAAGCTTGTCTTTGAATGTGGCTTGTTTTATTGGCCCCTAAGTTAATACCTGAATCCTGCTCTCCAATGGTCTTGGCTTGCTAGTAAAGTCACACAGGACTCATTCTTACAGTAATCTTTACCTGAGAAGACTGGAGCCAAACTCTGTTTTCAGGGATCCAAGCTTTCTCAGTTATCCTTACAATGGATCCTGCCAAATTCTTTTGTTCTTTCTTTTCCTTTTCTCTCATTTATTATTCTGTGACTCAATGGTAAGACTATTGAGCAAATAAGTTTTAATCTACCACGGTAGCTTAGAAAAACAAAGGAGATTAAGGCTGTACCCCCTAAAGGGGGGGGGAATTTAGAGAGTTAGAAGTGGGCTCTACCCCCCCATTCATCCCTGTTCTCTAAGACCTTATTCAGGCCTCTCTGTATCCACACAGTATATTTTAGTACTTTATAGTTTTTGATAGGATACACTGTATTTATCCTCCTCACTGATGTTAGGAAATGTGACATTCTTTGTCCAAAGAGGTATTTGAGATGTGATATGAACAAAGGCTTAGAACAAGCTTGCAAGGGAGAGCTTGTGCTCTAGGATTCCTCATTACTCACATAAAACACACCTGCATCTGGGAGCCTCTGACCCAAGGAGGCATAGTAAAAAAAATACCCTAGGCCCAGATTGCAGCTTGGGAATATGCCCTAATGGAATCCATCCTAGGTCTGCCAGAACCCATCCAGCCTGAAGACCAACTGAGCTAAGTAATAGAAGCTCATCTTTGAATGTGGCTGAGTTAGGGGTCATTTGTTATGCACCATTATCATGGCAATGGGATGGTTGAGTGTTTCATGAGGCATCCTTTATCCCTGCCAGCTGTTACAGTGAATATCTAGGTAAGAGAGAGAGAGAGAGAGTAAAGCTGTAGAATTCTGAGTAAGGATTATCATCAAAACAAACTTGGACTGCAGGATTTCTTCTACCAGCAAAACAAAAACAAAAACAGACATGTGCAGCTTGGTATAGAAGGACTGCAGAATAAATCACTTCATCCTGAGGATGAAGCTTGAAACAAGTTTGATTTGACTCCCTCATTTCCCACGCCTTTTGTTAAGGATACAAGACTGAAATGTTGTTTTTAACTATGAAGATTTTTGTCATGCCAAGGGACCTGCAAGATCATCCAAGATTGTATGAGCCAGGCCTGTGATCCATCAAATTCAGTGCTTTGTTCTGGGTTGAAACAATAGGAAGGCCTGTGTTCTGTGAGAGCCTGGAATTGCCCTCTGGAATGTCAGCTTCAGGGAGTTGGCAAAGCTAGCCATTATTGAGCACTCGATAGAGTCCAGAACACTAAGCTGAGCACTTCCCAGACACTCCATTATATAACCCTTATATATAACTACTTATATATAACTACTCACCAGACCTCTCCACCCTCTTTGTCTTGTAAGAAAACCCTTGTGTGTTTAGCTGGCAACCATGCTTAGGGAAGGTGGCCTCTTCTTTCCAGGGAATAAACCATGATTGGTCCAAACCAATTATAGTAATTCCATTGTTCGTTGTCTGTATCTGGTTTAAAAGGTATGTGAGGGATCCAGATCTCTAGATATCTTATCTCTTCTCTCTTACTATCCTTCCCTTCTCCCCCCCCCCACTTCCTTTCTTCCACTCTCTGCCTCATGAAAAAGCAAATATCAGGATATGCAAGATACAAAGAGCCTCACTCCTTCCTAAGATCCTTGACCCTTTGAATCATCCCTAGATTTCCTGATAAAGTGGTAAAGAATACCCTTTCTGGCTCAGCTTTTATCACATTATTCTTGGCTCATCTGATGAATAAACTGATATATATGCATGGTGTTTGTGCTCAGTATTTTACTCATTATAAAGCGTCAAGGCTTGGGGCTGGGAAGGTGGCTCAGTGGTAGAGCGCTTGCCTTGCATGCCTGAGGCCCTGGGTTCGATTCAGCACCAACCACAGAAGCAAAGAAAAGAAAAAAGCCGGAAGTGGCACTGTGGCTCAAGTGGTAGAGTGCTAGCCTTGAGCTGAAGACCTGAGGGACAGCGCCCAGGCCCAGAGTTCAGGCCCCAAGACCGGACC